GGTCAATAAGGAAAAAAGAGGGACATCTGTCAAACTGTCAGCAATAAAAGATGAATTAAGAAAACAAAACAGAAAGGGCCCTTCAGGCTCACACCTTATGTGTCAGAGCAGAATTGGGAGAGAAACTTCCGGCTGGGCTATTCCGGGTCCTGATGTCACCAGTGCTCAGGCAGCACATGACATTGGGCCCAATTTTAGACCTCAGTCCACATTTTTAGATAATAAAATTCTGTCATATAAGTTAAAATGTTTTCCATGTTTATAACAAATAGTGCCTCAGAGCCTCTCTTTGTGGATAGTTTTCTGTTGATTAATATTTTAATATTTAATAGGAGGCTCCCAAGAGAAAAATGCTCTGTACGAAGTAAATGGATATGAATAGTTTGGTTTCTTGATACCCCAAATTTCTTGGAAACAAAACTTTGGATCTAAATGTAAAACTTTCTACTGAACCACATTGCTTCTGCCAACGATTGTGACAACAAAGGGGTCCTACAGGAACCATCTTGTTATTAAACCACTGTCCCTGCAGTTTGGGCGGCAGCTTACTTTGTGATCTTGGAGTGTAAGTGCCTCGACCCCCAGGTTGGGGTGGGCAGACGGAAAGTAAAGGTCAAATTCTGTTCAAGAAGAATAACGTTTTAGTGAAGCACTAGTATAATCTTAAGAGAAAACAAATCAGGAATTTTAGTCAAATTCAAACATAGACTATTTGCCAAATCTCATTTTTTAAAAATAAATTCTTATCTAGAACTAATTTCTTCATTAATAGTAATAACCAATAGTGTTTATTTTATGTACCCATGGTGTTAGTTGTGTGGATTAAATTTTGAAACAAAACAAATATGTTCTAAAACTCCCAAATGCGTATAGACATGCTTTATGTTTTATACTTGAATGTTACTTAAATTAATGAATATTGTATATGCTGAATACAATTTAGGGCTTAGTTTCACCAATAGTAATAAAAACCTATCAAGATAACTTTAAAAATTGTTGGGAGAGTCATGGTTCATTTCAGTAGAAATGAAACAAAGTTGAAAAATATGTAAAACAGCATTATTGTAATGAGAAACCTGAGTTAAATTCTTGTGACTACCAAAACATTTGTTTTTATTTAGTTTAAATTACTTAAAGATGGAGAGCCTTTGAGGAAAGGAAGTACATACATAAAAAATAGTACTTAGTACTTAGGCTACTCCCAGTGGGACTGAGAAATATTTACAGGAGCATGTTTCATTAATAATCATCAAGCCACTATGATGCTCTCCATTCATGCTTCTAAAGACAACACATTTAGTGAAAAGCTAAATTGTAGAATATTTCAATTAAATGCAGTTTGGTTACTTTCAAATAATGTCTTGATATACCACTGGACTTTTAGCAACTTTAATTCTTAAGACAAACTAAACACACACACACACACACATATCTAAACACATACACAAATAAATAAGAAACTTCTCATAACAAACTTAACATTTCAGAGCTGGCACACTTTCCCAGGTGTGAAACTTTAGTCCCGTAGCCCACATTCTACTGATTCAGAATGAAAGGTGAAAGGAAACGCTGCCAACTATATATATAAAAAGCCAGTGTCCATGACAACCAAATGACCAGTCACCATGAGGTGCATTGAGCACCTCTTGGTCCCTCCCCCGAGGCGCACAGGCTCTGATCATAGCAAGGCGGGTAGTCGCTGGGTGGGGCTGCGAGCATGGTGGGGCGGCAGGTGGGTGGGCAGGGCTGTGAGTGCGGCGAGGTGGCAGGCGGGTGGTGGCGAGCTACCATGAGTGATTTTGTGTGCTGGGCCTCTAGTCTATAATAATAAAAGCGTAATATGCTAATTAGACCGGACATCCTTCTGGATGTCCTTCCAGACGACCTTCCAGATGAAGCCATGGTGGTGGGGGGGCCAAGCCCCCTTGCATGAATTTCGTGCATCAGGCCTCTAGTCTAATATAAAAGATTATGCAATAAATAACAGTGTAAACAGCACACTAGGAGGCCTGCCTCCGGCATGTCTGGGATTCCGTTTTCCTGCACCTGTTTTATTTCTGAGCATGGAGATGGCAACTCCGGGTCTCTCGTAGTCGAAGGAGACAGTTTTGCACATCTGTATCCTTCACTGTCAGAGTATAAAACTTGGTCTTCCAAATGATGACCTTGCATTGTCAAGGAAATACTTTTAAATTATTTTTAAATATGCATGTCTATATTTAAAGAGGGAGACTTGTGAACATGCTGCAAATAATTCTGTTAAATAGTTGTAATATCAAAGATGCATTGCTTATAATGGTAATTTTTACTTATCTGGAAAATCCACATGTACTAAATATTTCATTCTCATATGATGCTTGAAAAGTGGCTTTCTCTATGTATTATACATATTTTAAATATAGATATAATATAGATTTCAATATAATTGTGTAATACATACAATATTTTATAATATGTGCTAGAAATATCAAAGGCCTATGCTATAGCATCATTCCAAGTTTTATATTAAACGAGAATCAGGCATCCTATGAACTGAACTGTGTCTCCCCTAAATTCATATGTTGAAGTCAAAGTCCTGATGCTCACCACGATGATATTTGGAGACAGGGTCTTTATGGAAGAAATTAAGGTTAAATCAGATGATAAGGATGGGGCCCTTACCCAATAGCATTAGTGTCCTTTAAGAAGAGAAATTAGAGTCTCTCTCTCTCTCTCTCTCTCTCTCTCTGCCATGTGAGGCCTGAGGCCATAGTGAAAAGGCAGTAAAGGCAGCATGACAAAACTAGGAGGAGAGCTTTCACGCAAACCAAACCATGCTGCCATACTGATCTTGGGTTTCCAGCTTCTCGAACTATGAGAAATTAAATTTCTGTTGCTGAAACCCCCCAGCCTGTGACATTCTGGTGGCCCAAGCTGAGTAAGAAAATGTATACTGATTATAAGTTTCATAGGTTCTAAGGCCAGTGAGACTCAGATTAATCAGCTTATTCTCTCAATCATTATGAATGATCTACTGAAGTTTCCAGAGTCTTCTATAAACACGGTTTGTCCCGTTAATGTCTTCCTGAGGCTTTGGGATAACATCTCACTTCCAAGAAAGATGCAGTTTGCAGAAATTTGTTTATTTGTCAGCTGATTTATATCACCAGTTGAGTCAGGTCTCTAGGACAGTGATCAGTATAGAACACGCCTGAAAATGTTGCTTACTCAAACTCATTCAAGCTTGCCTAGACTTAAACACGGCGGAATGGCCCATGACACGTGTTTACAGAATTCTATCCCTGTTGTCATAGCTGTCGCCATAGGCTCCCATGTATGGGAAACCACAGGGATCTCAGCTGGAAGCTGCTCTCAACCCATCTGTTAGTGCCAAGGTCAAAGATATCCGTGCAAGAGCAGAGAGCCCAGGGCGCGGGCAGACGCAGTGAGAGCCTCGTCTGCTTTTCTTTCTTGAGAAGCGCACTCCACAGACCAAGCAGAATCTCATGATGTTCCACCTCCGCTTTCCTGGCCGGGTGTGATTTTCATCATGGACCTCTCTGAGGGGAGACAGCATGGCCCCCAGGCCAGAAATCAGGAGACTTCCGTTTTTATTTGCTGCGTCACTAGCAGGGTCTGGTCCTTGGGTCAGGTACTCCGCCTGCTCAGACCTGCGTCCTCCCTTATCAGGAACCACGTCAAACTACATCAGAAGTTTCCAAGCGGTCTCAGCGGGGATGAGGACGGGGCGGCTGAGAGCGGGATTCTGTGGTGTCACACCACCTTCCGTCGGGGACTCTGTGCTCAGCTCCTGAGATGCTTTCCAGGAGAAAGAGCGCCTCTGTTTTGTTTGTTTAAGTTTTCCGTGACCGAGCTTGAGGACTTCACATGTCACATAACATGTGAGGCTGCGATTTCCCAACGGGGGTTCCTCCTGCGTACATGGCTTTGCTGCCCAGAGAGCTGGTGCTGCTCTTCTCGGCCTTAGGGCCGCGCTGATACAAAGAATGCGGTTGGTGGTGGGTGTGTGGTGGGAACAGTGAATTTTATAAAACTTCCGGAGAGAACAAGTGGCCTTAGGTACATTAATTAATCTCTGGATCTTGAAGATTATACTTTATCAATATTTTTATCCAAACTTTTTCCAGACTAACTTTAATTTCACATAGTGAAGATTTATAATCTCTAAATGCTTAAAGAACACTGACAGGCTAGTAACTATTTGAAAACAGCTGGGCCATAGTCATTACCTTAAAGGTAGTCTGCTTTTAGGAGATATATATTATATTAATATACTATATTACTATAAGATATATATGTATATATATATATATATATGCTCTAGCCCTTTAAAAAAGAGAAAAAGACCAAAAAGCTTGGAGAAAAAAACAGATTTTGAATTCCTAAGCGATAATATGGCTAAGTCAGAAAGAGTCTTTAAAAATAGTAATCTGCAAGATAAAGCCCCACAGACTCTGTTTATGACAGCTGGAATCAGCGATGTCACCTCACAGCTTATGATGGAAAAGAAATTCAGCAAAAACAACGGCGGTGAGAGGCACAGGTGGACATGATCAGAGGACGGCTGTAAACCGCATTAAGGGGCTGGGAAAACAGGAGCAGATGGCTCGGTTAGAAACGAGAAGATTGATGAGCCAGCCAGCAAGAGGCAGCCGGATGATGGAGCCGCCCTGGAAACCGTGGAGATGAGCTCACTGCTCTCTGTCACCCAGGACACCTCACAGGTCCACGCCTGGCCTCTCCCGAGGCAGCGGGTGGGCTGGCGGAGAGACACAGGCCCCGGGTTGAGTGACACTCCCACAGAAAGGCGGTCCTCTGTTAGGGGATCTTCCGTCTGCCATTTGGCTAACGTTGTGGGAATTGAGAAATGACAAGCAGCAGCTCTGATGCATCAAATGGAGCCAGGGCTGTGCTGTGCAGAGATAAGATAACGGGGACCTGAGTCATTGCTTTGAGGCTATTCCACAGCTGATAACAGTGCGAGCAAAGGACTGAGAGAGGGAATAACAAGTGCTCACGGGTTTTAAAAAAGGAAGCCCGGGCGGTTACGTGCAAGGATGATGCTCAACTGCACAGAGAGGCTAAGGCAGGTGAGACCAACAGGGAATTGCAAGTCTCCTTCTAGAACATTTGACTCCTCAGGCCGTCCGATGGGGGCCCCTTAAGATGTTCTGTCTGGTTCTCGTATGGAGTTTATTTTCTTACAGGGTTTTTGCTGGTTCTCACACCAACCTCAGCAAGTGAAGGCTGAGTGGTGACCCACATGCTGTCTCCGTTGGGGCGGCAGCCTGACTCCTAACCGGACCCGCTGCGGGAGGGGCTGGGGTGCACGGGGGCCGCTGGGAGCTGTTCTGTGTATTTGAAGGCGGTGGGAGGACGGGGCGGGTTCCGCAGAGAGGAAAAGCGGACGGGAAGGAACTGCATGGAGAGACCTTGAGAGCAAAGATCACTTTGGAGTGGAAGTCTGAGGATGTGGGAAAAAAATGAAAGAGACCAAAGAATCTGAGGAATTGGAAACGGTTAGGACCAGCCAAGATGTGACTTCAGTGTCCAGTGTGGGAAATTGCTGTGAAAGGAATGGAGTGTCCAAGGCTTTTGTCAGAGAGGAGCCCCACTCGGCAGGCAGCTTAAAGGGACCCAGCAAGGAAGGCCTCCAAAGGGGACAGGATTCATTTCATTTTTAATTTCTAAAATATTTTAATTGATTTTTTTTTTTAGAGAGAGAGAGAGAGGAGAGAGGGAGTGAGAGAAACATTGATATGACAGTGAAACATCAGTGATCAGCTGCCTCCCGCACAGCCCCCAGCTGGGGAGCTTCGCCATTCAGGGATGGAGCCTGCAACCTGGGCCTGTGCCCTGGCTGGGAATCGAACCAGCTCCCCCTCGATGGATGGGATGACACCCAATCAACTGAGCCACACCGGCCAGGGCGGAACAGATTTCATTTTCATTAGCCGGAGAAAATAGTCAAGTAGAAGATACCGTCCATTGTCCATCTACCTGTACCGGGCCCTTTGTGTAAGTCACTAAGTGCAGTTCTCACAAACAGGTGTCACGATCACGAAAAGGGAAACCGAGAGGGAAAGTGTGTGACTCACCCGGGAGCTGAGATGCGAGCGATTCATGTCAGTCCACGGGGCCCCGGCCTCGCCGCCGCATCAGGCTGCTTCCCACCTCACCGGCCCTCAGATCCCCCCGGGTCTGAGGGCAACCTCACACCATGACCGCTGCCACCCACAATGCTCTGCCTCGGCCAGTTGGAGTTAGAAGCTAAGAAGAGCTCCAGGTGAAGGCACTTGAAATTGCTCAAGTAAAATTCCACTCACGTGGCCAGGAAGGAAAAGGAAACACGGGTAGGGAAGATGCTGACACTCGGGACCCTCATCCGCGGCTCCGCATTCTCAGCGCTGGCTGCACAGGGGAGGAGCGGGGAGCCTCCAACCTCCCTCAGCCTTCGTCCCCCCTCCCCCCCAGAGAGTCTGCATGGACTCGACTGGGGTCATTGGCGTTCTCCCCACGGAGCTACTTCACCGGACCGCCCAGGTGGCCACAGTGTAGCCAAGTCCGAGCCCTGGTGCTCTGCCGGTTGAGTTTGACAGTGAGCGTGCCCCTGTGAGGTCGCCTCATCACTAGTGTGTTATGAACAGCAGATGCTGAGGAAATGTTTGGGAAATGAAGTTGATGAGCAGCAGAACGATGCTCCTGGTCAGCCCTAATGCCTTTAAGTGGGTGTTATTTCCAGGAATGTGTTATGCTTGTGTGTAGCGCCGGCAAGCCTCCGAGAGCTGGGCAGCAGGTACCTGAGTCAGGGTACCTGTGCGGTCTCCCCTGCAGCCAGTGTCCTCTTTGGGTGCAGAACCCCGATACTGAAAACACTACCGGATTCCCCAGGCCTTCGCATCCTTAGGCAAAGCATTGCAGCTCAATGATCGCGATCCCCGGGCGCAGCTGCTGTCTGGCGGCCTGATAGGCTGGAGGCCATAGTAGTTAAGGTCAGGGGTCTGAAACCAAGATGTCCTGAGTTCAAACCCATGGCCGGCTGTTGACTGCTTTCGTGACTGTGGGCCAATTGCTTGGCCTCTGAGTATCTGTCTCCCCATCTAGTCCATGACGCGAGGGTGTGATCATGCCTGCCTCCTAGGGACGTGGCAAGGCACAAATAGGTCTGTTTGTGAAACATTAGACCAGTGCCTGGTACGGGGAAGTGCCGTGTCATTGCGTATTATCATTGTGGGGAGAACGTTTTATTAACAGGAGTTCATAGCGCTGCCTATAAGCTTCTAGCAACACTTTAGCAGATTTTGAAGAAGTTAATGCATCTGGAAGAATCCACAGGAACGTGCCAGAGCGGGCTGTTCGGTGTCTGAGGACAGGTGTGAGCCGGGCAGTGCAGGCGATTTGGTCCTGCCCTTTGCCTTTCCCTGCCTCATCCACACTGAGGCCGGCCTCGCTGGCCACGATCCATGCGGGGGGATGCGTAGTGGTCACGCTGCCAGGAGCCAGGCAAGAGGCTGGGCACGTCAGGCCTCCGGTTCCTTGTTCTCCTCGCTTTCTTTTGCTGCCAAAGAAGAATAAGACAACACGGGCAGCCCACACAGCTGTGGAGAGAAGATGGCTGATTGCGAAATAATTTTGAAGGATCCTACGTCTCATCCCCCCAACCCCCTCCCATTAGGCAAGAGGACGAGTGCTGGAGCGAAACCTTTCCAAGTAGGAGCAGTGGGGACTGGCGCATGTGTGGGGCACGTGTGAGGAGAGAGATCTGTACTCCAGGGGCATCCAGGTCACTGCACGCGGGCTTCTTGGACCCGGTGGAGAGCAGGATGGAAGTCAGCTGCCGAGAGAGAATGTGAGATGGGAGGAATCTCTTACGTTAAGTAGTTATGAGTCTATTACATGTAAAGGTGTACAATGAACCTTAATCCAAGCAGCAAGTTCCCTCTACTCCTCGGGGCCCCTGGTGGAAGTCGGGACATGCCCCCCTGTGAAGTTCATGTCCTACTTTGCCGTCCTCTCAAGGAGATAATAGATCAAAGGCAGACTCTGAGGATTCGGGCCGGGTTATTTTGGGTTTCCAGCTGTGAATTTTCTGGATTTCAAAACTCCTGCCTGGATATTTATTTTTTCTCCTGGGAGAGAAGGGAAAAATCCCTCGCTTGCATTCCCACTGTCTAGGATATGAGCTGTTACAAGCCCTGTTGGCTGACCCCTCGGAAGAGGACATCGCATTTGACCAGCTCAGCGTTTCTCCCCCTTTCTCACTGCCGCCCTTACTGTACGGCACTCCCTGGAGACCGGGCGCCTCTGAGAAGCCGTGTAACGGGACCCGCACGGCGCCAGCTGCCCCTGCCACCTCCTCCCAGCTCCGCGGGCACCGCACCGCTGCCTCCCAGGCGCTGTGCAGCCAGTTACCGGCTGTGACTTTGGAAATGCCTCCTCTGGGTTTGGCTTTAAAAAAATTAACCTGCTGTTTTACAAAAAAAAAAAAAAAAAAAAGTAAAACGAATTTCACATTCCATTTCTCACGCAGTCAGTGGACTGGGTGGTTTCCAGAACCAAACAGTGCGAGTGGCAGTTTCTGGCCTGGGTGTGGGGACTGAGAGCTGCCGTGTCCCCGCTCCTGGACACGTGTGTTTGGAAACCTGAACCAGCACATGAGGCGGCCAACCACCTGGCGTTAGTGCCTGGGGCCAGTGATGCTGGACTTCTCTGCAACAATGGGGCAGGCATGTCCAACTGCAAAAGGTCACACATGTACTTTACATGTTCCGTGAGGCATCCACGCCTCGGAATAACGGAAACTTTTCTTTAATTCTATCTTCTCTTTCAGTAACTCTTCCTGGCGGGGCACTGCACCTTCCCATCTCATCCTTTATCTCTCTCTCTCTCTCTCTCGCTCTCTCTCTCTGGTCAATCTGTATGAGACTTCCTTGAATCAGTCTTTAAATTTATTTATGTTTTCTTTGTGTTTATTCTTGTGCGGAATGTACTGATTTCTTAAAATTTTATAGATGGCTGCAGGAACGAGTTAACTCTTCAGAGGTGAGCTGCTCAAACCTCTCCATGTCCTATGAGGGCCTGTTTTCTGACCTGGCCCCAAGGCAGTGATGGCGAACCTGTGACACGCGTGTCAGAGGTGACACGCAAACTCATTTTTTTGGTTGATTTTTCTTTGTTAAATGGCATTTAAATATATAAAATAAATATCAAAAATATAAGTCTTGGTTTTACTATGGTTGTAAATATCAAAAAATTTCTACATGTGACTCGGCACCAGAGTTAAGTTAGGGTTTTTCAAAATGCTGCAGCGCCGAGCTCAAAAGGTTCGCCATCACTGGGCTAGGGAAACCCCTGGAAGTTGAGCTCGGAGGCTGTGGAGCCTTCTGCTGGGGCCACACAGTGCCAACGTGACCAGATGGTTTGTGCCCACACGTGTGGTGCATGGTGAGCCTGTTTGGCTCAGTGGCTGGCATCTGAGGAGGCTGAGTGCTGCCTGCCTACTTGATTGGCCCCCAATAAAACCTGGGACATGAGGCTCAGGTGAGCTTCCCTGGGGGGACAGCGCTTCACAGGTGTCATTACACATCACTGTTTGTATATTCCCCACATCTGAGCAATCTACTGGTGGAGGACGCCTAGAGGCGTGAGTCTGGGCACTCCTGGAATCCATGCCCGTGTCTTCTTCCCCCTGATTTTAATTTGTAGCCTCTCGCTGTAACCAGGAGTTTCACACCTTTCTGAACTCCGTGAATCCTGCCAGCGAATCACTGATACACAACATATGTTTCTCTCTCCTACTTTTCCATTATGGTCATCTTCTAATTCAGGGCTCCTCAAACTTTTTAAACATGGGGCCAGTTCACTGTCCCTCAGACCGTTGGAGGGCCGGACTATAGTTTAAAAAAAAACAACTATGAACAAATTCCTATGCACACTGAACATACCTTATTTTGAAGTAAAAAAAACCAAAATGGGAACAAATACAATATTTGTATTTGCGTGTGGCCCATGGGCCGTAGTTTGAGGATCCCTGTTCTAATTAGACATTGTTCACATTCTTCTATTAGGATGGAGATGTTTTATTTCTATTACTTTATTTCTTAGAACATTTTAAACTGCCTTGAAGCTTCTTTCTGATTTTTAAAATGTACTTTTTCGTGTTTTGTCTGCAAAAATTTCCACTTGTTAAGCTTACTGGTTCTCAAATATGTTGGACTAGTACACAGTCATTGAGCAGTCGGCTACCTCTTCAGCACCGTAGACTCCACGGTGCTGGTGTCAGGCTGTGGGGATGTTTCTAAAGGTGGAGGTAAGTTTCCCCCCAATTTACTCAGGTCCCCATGAGTTTCTCTGACTCTGGACCCGAATGGAAATTCGATTTTAAACGCACAGAGAGAATAGGATTGGGGTTCCGCTATTATTTTATTCAGATCTTCCCCCTCTTCACTGCCCTGGGCTTCCACAAGTATTTGTACTGCATTTCCAGGTTAGTGCGTGGCACTTAAAATTTTCTCCAATTTTTGTTTCATAGGTTTAACAACAGTTGGGAAATAATATAAAATCTCATCACCTCTTTCCGTGCTCAGTCATGCTTTAGTGTTTAATGTACTGAAATGACTGCTATCAGCCACTCTCCTCTAGGTCAGCTGCCTGAATCACGAGGACACTTACTTGTTTCAGGAGTCCAATATATTTTCCAAGTAAATTTTTATCATTTACTTCAAATTTACAAATATGATCTGAATGCCATCTTGTTTTAGTGTCAACTTTTATCTCTTTTTCTTATATGTAGAAAGCTTAAGGTTATACATACATGGGCACAATTCCTTTGTGTGTAGAATCATAACAGCCAAAGTTATCAATAGTGGGTTATTCTTCTAGGGGGCCTACTCTTTGACTGGCATCTTGTCTACCTTAGTTTTTTCTAAGCCCAGGCCAAATCTTATTTTTATAAGAATTCTTATTAATAACTCAATTAGGAATATAAAGAGAACACTGTTTACCAGCTTCTAAAGAATTTGTAGACCTAATCCTTTCAGAATGTGAATAATTATAAGTATCATTGGGGATCAGAAGTATGGAGGGGGTATGGCTACTAGAAAAAAGGGAAACTATTAAAGAAAAAATGAAGACATTGATAAAATGTTTAATAGATTCTTTATTTCAGTTACATGGAAGATAACGGATGGACATAAAACCAACAGATCTCCTGGGAGAGGATTTTGAAAGTTCTCACACACAAGTAAGCAAGGTTGAAAAGGAAGTCATATGTCTAAACATTGCAGAGACTCCAGGGAAAGGCACAGCTTTAGAGTTCTAATTGACGTGACCAATAGTGTAAGCGAAACCTTAGAGATAAATCCGCAGTTTCGTGAAGAAGAAAACTGTAGATCTAAAGGGCAGTGGATGTTTTTGCCAGGATTTCAAGAGGCATCACTACTATTTAGCTTCTATTGAGTGTGGGGAACAGGCATAGTTTAGAGTGTTTTTCTAGAAGTATACCACTTTTCTAGTTTCTTGTACCCTTTATGGGTGATGGCAGTTGTCTTTGGAACCTCTCAAGCATCTGTATATATAAAAGCCTAATATGCAAAGTGTCCCCTCAGGAGTTTGATTGCTCCCTCTGACGTGCGCTGACCACCAGGGGGTGGTGCAAATGAAGGGAGGCCCTGGCTGGCAGCTGGCAGTCACTAGGGACCATACCGTGCAAGCATTTCGTGCACTGGGCCTCTAGTGTGAAAATAAAGAGAAACATTCATAAGACTTGTCAATAACTTTTAAAAATTGAGCTAATGTGTTTTTCTACCTGAAAGAGCAGATGTCAGTGTTTAGTGTGTATGTGCATGTGTGTGCATGCAAAAGAAAATAAAATTTAAAAAAAAACCTCCTGTCTTGGATAGTTAAGCAATACTATGCTTTCCTACTTTAATATGCCCAATGGTTTTGCTAGGCTGGTCATTACTATTGGCTGTCCTGTGAAGTTAGGAGGGACTATTAGAGACAAGGAAGATAACCTTGGAAAACAAATAAGGGTACTTTATCCCACGTTGTATTTTGTTCCCATCGCTCCCGCCTTTTTCATAGTAACAGGCTTCGGTGCCTATCTCCTTGTGTCTTCTGCCATTTCCCGGGCTCCTTCAGGTGCCCCGTACTCGGTCCTCATTTATTTGCGTGACTCACCTCATGTTTCCTGCTCGTATCTCCCTCGCTGTGTGCGCTGTGGGCAATCCAGGCTGGTTGTGTCGTTCACGTTGCTCCCGTATCCAGATCCCCTGGGTCCAGCCCTTCTTCCTCTTGCAGCCCACTTCACCTGCGCTCAGGCAGAAACTCTTTGAAATAAAATGGAATTAAAACAAAGAAAAGACATCTAAGTGGACCACATGCATCTACACGTGTGATAAAATTGTGTAGAACTGAATACGCGTACACACAGACGACTGCATATTTTTATAAGTGTGTTAATGACAAGTGTGTGTATTTTAAGGCTTATGGATTGTATCAGTGTAACTCTCCTGACTGGGATATTGTACTCTAGCTCTACAAGATGTTATTGTTGGAGAATACAGAGGAAAGTGTTCAGAGAATCTGTTATTTCTTCCACCTGCATGTGAGTCTACAATTATTTCAAAATAAAAAGTTAAAAAAGATGTAGAAGTGTAAACATAATTGAGAGTCTGAGTTTCACTTTGTCTTCTCTTGAGTTAGTAATCTTGGACAAGACTACAGATAATCACGCAGCCCCTTCACGGCTCCCCAGTTGTGAGTAAAGTAAATTAAATGCTACAGGCATTAGGGTCCTTCAACTACATTTGCTGTCAATCTTGAACTATTTTTCATTCACTTACTCCATCAGTCAATAAATCTTTATGGCCAGACACGTGCTATGAACCACTACCCTGTAGGCACCGGAGTTGCAGGCAGTGCGTTTCCCTGGCTTTCCTGTAGCTCGTTTTCCTGGGCTCGGTGTTTCCGTTCACTCACAAGTGCAGGCTGCTTCGTTGCTATCTTCTTATTTTGTGTTGCGATATGCCCAAGTGGATTCCAATTGCTTTAGACAGAATCCATGTTTTCAGGCAGAGAACTGTCAAGTTTAAAAATAAACATCAAAACCCACAAAGTTTTCAGAAAGTGGAGGAGCACACGAGCTACTGTGGGATGGAGCCCAGTGTCCAGGAACCAGGAAAAGTGTTTCCATTGCAAAGGCCCGTGGTGAACCAAGCGCTCACCGTCTTAAAGGGACTGAGGGCCTGCAGGTGAAGCTGCTCGGATAAGCCATTGCTGACAAGAGGAAATCTCACTAACGCCTTTTTCCTCTTTAATTCATTTTAAAAATATATATTGTTTTATTTATTTTTAAAAACATTTTTATTGATTTCTGAGAGGAAGGGAGAGGGAGAGAGATGGAAACATCCATGATGAGAGAGAATTATTGATTGGCTGCCGCCTGCATGTCCCACACTGGGGATTAGGCCTGCAACCCAGGCCTGTGCCCTGACCAGGAATCAAACCCTGACCTGCTGGTTCATAGATTGACGTGCAACCACTGAGCCACACCGGCCACGCCTCTTTCATTCATTTTTAATTATAGCTGACCTATAGTATCATATCAGTTTCAGGTGTACAACGTAGTGACTCAGCATTTTTACGTCTTGCAGAGTCATCACCACAAGCCCGGTGACCATCTGTCGCCGTGCATAGTTCTCACGCTATTGCCCGTGTGGACGTCACCTCCTCGTTTTATAGCGGACGACGCACTTCTCAACCCCCTTTCTGTTCATCCTCTCAGCCACCTCCACTCGGGATCATCCACTTGTTCTGGGATTTTGAGTTTGTTTCTGTTCCCTTTTGTTGCTTTTGTCATTAACATTCCACGTATAAGGCAGGTGGTACCTGTCTGTCTTCATCTGACTTATTTCACTTAACATGAGACTCATGGGGAGCTACAATGGGGCCATCTATGCATCTGACCAGGTCAAGGCGGCCCATGGCAGGCCTGACAGCGCAGTGACCGGCAGTCAGCACAAAGGGTGGCCGGATCTCAGGTTCGTAACTGGGCAGGTCCTGGTGGGTAGCCAAGCCTGCACGCCCAGGCCCACAGCTTGCTCAGCAAAGACTCACCTTCCTCCTCAGTGCGCTCTGTCCGTTGTTCTAGCGCTTCTAGGATAACATACCTTGGAAAGGTCAGTATTTTTTTCTAGAACCTTCCAGCCACACCCGCAGGCTGCAGAGGGCAAGCCCAGCAGAGCTCCAAGCACAGAACGCCTCATGCTATCTGCTTGCCCGCACGCCGTCTCATGTGCTGTAAATGTTCAGTATGACTTAGCCAGCGCCCACCAATGGGAAAGCAGCATCTGCCTCTGCACATGGCCTTTTAGCCAACCCTAGGTTTCCCCGCCCTGCTTTCTCCCACCTCCTTAATCTACCATCAGTGGATTTCACGTGCCTTCCTTACGTTTTCTCTGTTGATTCTAAACGCCTAAAAGAAACTGCAAATCTTCTGCTCACTGGAGCATTTTCTCACAAACTTGGCTCAAATAAACTCTTAGAAGACTTTTTTTGTAGGTTTGGATGCTAGTTTGTGGACTCTCATTAAACTATTATTTTTTTCTTTTATAAAAATTGACTGGAGTGACATTGGTTAATAAAAGTATATAAGCTGCAGCTGTACAATTCTATAATATTTGTATATTGTATTATGTGTTCACCACCCGCTTACTAAATTCTTAAGGTTCTTAAGTTATAGACTCTATTCTTAGCCTCAAATACTGCTACACTCATTATTTCATTCCTGGATATATCCAATCCTATTTTAAACTTGAATTGGATCATGGAAGATAGGATTAATTCTATTTTTATTTCAGGAGTATGCATGGGGGAATACAAAGGAAGAAAAATGTCAAAATAGTTTCTCTCTAATTGAACACTTTCCTTATTTTCCCAGTTCGACACAGGAAATGAGCTGGGGTTTGTTGTGTGTTTTTTTCCCAGCCTCTGTTTGTAGAGCATTTTTCCCAAATGAGGAAAACTGGTCTGTGGAGGCACATTAATAACTTTGCAAACATGGGCCCATCAAAGTGCATCAGATGAGGACCCGCTGCCCTGGTGCCGGCCAGCCAATCAGTGGAGACCACGCCCTGAAAGGACACACCTGGGAAGCTGCTGACTCTGCTATAGAGATCTTCCCCTGGGGCCTCCCTGAGATCTCCACCCTAAGGCCTTAGGACAGAGGAGCCAGGGGCCCTCCCTCCTAGGAGCACACCCTGCCTCTCCGTCCCCTCCCCTGCTCTACTGCCTGATGCCTTAGCTTCCTCACTCCCAGGGCCCTTCCTTCACCCCTGAAACTTGTTTCCTAAGCCCATTCCTTCTAGGAACTACTTCTTCCACTTCTGTGATTTACCCAAGAAATATTCTCTTACAAAATAGTGGGATTTTGGGGGGCAGAAACGACATTTGATGGCACCTCTCGCCTCATCGTTAGCATGTCTCTGTGATTACGGTGAAGGACTGTAGGTGTGAGATGAGGTGACTTGCCAACTTTCCTGCCTCCACCTCTCCCTTCTGCCTCCGAAAGACTGTGGGCTCCTTGTTCATGCGCAGCGTGTGTCATGGAAGGATCCGAGCTGCCGCCTCCGACTCGCACGGCCATGGCTGTTCCGGCCTAGACTCTCCCCTCCGGCCTCTCACTTTGTTCAGTTTGCAAACTTCTGCGTGGACCGGCTTCCTTTCTTTTCACACTGGATTTCTTGTTCGGTTATGCTGTTTTTGTTAACAATTCCATCAACATCCTTTTCCTTTGTCTTTCAACAAAAACACTCCCTCTAGAGCAGCAACACCGCGGGAACCCTTTAATCTGGTGGAGAAACACATGGGCATCGAGGGCACCAGCAATGAAGACTTTAGTCTCAGGGGTTTCTTCAACACGAAACTTTTTCCTTCTGCTTGTTCACTATTAAACTTTGGAATTCTCCTCCAGTCTCCCTCATGTGATTTGATCGATATTGTGGATCTCAGGGCTCCGTTTTCTGGATGCATGGATCTGGGACATCCGCACATTTTGCAAGGACAAATCTTGGGAGCTGTGCTGGAAAGCAAATATGCTAGGAAATAGTTTAGCTTTGTTTTCTGAAAGGCCACTCTGTAACCTGTGGCTATCCCATCCCTTCACCAAACTCCTGACTGCATTTTCAACTTGGCTTTGAAGAACCAGCTGCTGAAAGCAATAAGTCAGCAGCTGAAAATGATGAATGAGGGACTCACTGGAGTCAGATGAAATAGAGGAGCTTTTCAACAATGTTAGGTAGGCAGCTGGGGATGGGGAAAGGGTGGTGACTGCTGGTAAGGGCATGAATATATATATACTAGAAGCCCAGTGCACAAAAATTTGTGCACTGCTAGGGGGGAGGGAGTCCCTCAGCCCAACCTGTGTCCTCTCACAGTCTGGGACCCCTCGGGAGATAACCACCTGCTGGCTTGGGCCCACTCCCCTGGTAACAGATGGCATGCCCAATCCCATGGTGTCTGCCCCGCCTACCCTGCCCCACACATGGCAGGCCCAGATCCCACGCTGGGGTGGGTGGCGGCTGGGAATCCTGCTGCTGCGAGCCCCAGGCGGGGCAGCACAGCGGGATCTGCAGTATGCAAATTAGCCACCACCTTTGTTGGCGGTTAATTTGCATATTGCGCTGATTAGCCAATGGGAGGCGTAGCAAAGGTACGGTCAATTACCATGTTTGTCTATTATTAGATAGGATATACAGTAGCCATTATGCTTACCTGTTTGAATTCTATTTGAAACCTTCTTCTTAGTATAGATGCACTTTTAGAACTTCTTATTTCGTGGAGCACTACTCACAATATGTCAGAACCAGCATTGAATGAGTGTCAGTTCTGTGCCAGCCCCGGGTGAGGCTGGGAGCATCCGCCGGGGAGGGGTGAGTTGCGATCTCCCAGCACCACCTGGGGACATCATGACCTGCTTGCCATAGCATCGCACTGTCTGTGGGTGTGCCTGGCATTCTGGGTTTCAAAACCTTTTTATAGCGTTCCTCCTGTGGCTCATGCTGACTCAGATGGAATATTCTTCAGCGTGCTCCTTTCCAAGTGCTACTTACACACCTGTCGCTCACGGCTCTCTTCTGCTCTGGTTTGATTTATTCCATTTGCCAATGTTCCCTGGTTCCTGGCCTAGTTAATGGTCTGTTCATTTGTACATAAACATTTACACAAGATGGAAAAGATGAAGTAATTTAAACTTGGTCCCTTGTTTCCCCCGCAATGTGAATTGGGGATCACTACACTCCTTCAGTGAAAGGTTGGTTATTCATTGGTTGACTCTCTGCGTTTTTTATAGCTTCCAGGCATGTTTAATACCTGTGATTAACTGAATTTTTCAGGTTCACATCTGCATTTAATCACACGTAATTGCCCGTTTCCCAGCCTGGTCAGTGTAGCATTGCAACCACTCGCCCTTCTTCCCCCACCTGTGCGGTCAGGGACTCACAGGCAGTTACACGTTCTCTCTTTCACAGCCGTCGAGCGGCACTTAAATAATATTTAAGAAAGTTACATTTCTTTTGAAGTGGTCACAGGAAGCACATGCCTAATGTACATAAACAGAAGGGCCAAGGCGCTGGCTGGGAGGCCTGGTGACTTACAGAGCCCTGTGTCCACAGAGAAGCGTGGGCCCGGGGAGGATGAAAGGCTCATTGGGCCCCGTAGCCCCAGAGTTCCCAGTGAACACGCCGGGATTGAAAGAGCAACTTCTCTCCAGTCCATGTGGCCTGGTTTTTTTTTTTGCTACCGCTCAACGACCTTGTGAGAGGTCCTTGTTTCAGCCTAAACACTCTGTCTCACTTCCCAAACCCCACTTTTTCAGTCTTTTGACCACAGAGAATGAAACCTTAAAGATTAACCATACTTTGGGTAAAAGGGAAAATGGGCTCATTCCACGTTTTCCCCTCGTACTGAACAGGATCATTCAAACCAATTCTTCCATTTTTCTCTGAGTTCTCCATAAACCTGCCACAAGGGATTTAATAAGGAAGAAAAATCACATGAAAGCAGGACAGCGAAACATGCGGTAATGTCTGGCCACTATATTTTTGGCAAAACTTGATCTAATCCAGGAATTTACATCTCTTCCAAAATCGAGTATTTTTGTTGGTGAGGGTAAGTAGGGGGAGGACATAAACAATCATGCTGGGATTTTAATTGACTGAGAAATGGGACGTGAAAAATAGCCTCCATTTTTTTTTTCCAGTATGAAGGATACTGGACTATGATTAAAAATTATGAAGGGCTTCTGTGAAATTCATACACTTAATCAAATAAACCTCACAACTAAGTTATTCTTGACACATTTAATGGTGATACTGACCACTACTGCTCTAGGAAGTGTTAGGCACATTATATGTAAAAGGACACGTAAGGACTGAAATCAATGTCCCTGATACATAAAGAAAACCCTCATTGTCTTTCTTAATTCACTTAAAAAGCCCAGAAATCATTGTGCACCTACTATGTTAGATCTTAATTGCCCTTAAGTCAAGAATGACATCTCGCTGTACCACTATTGCGCAATATATTGGCTGGTGATTGGTAGCTACTCAGAGTTGATACCAAAGTGAAGAGTGTGTGGGGCCTGTGACAAGAGATCTAGAAATGACTTCCTTCGGAGGTTCCCAGTTTGTGTAACCATGGTTACTGAATGCGTTTTCTCAGATTAGTTCAATCCACAAGGACCTCGGTTAAATTCTCTGTGAGGTGACATTTGTGTTTTCAATCCCAGCCTCTACCTTTCACAATCAGGAGTCCTTAAGGGGCTCAGGTTACACTCTGCCCTTTAGATCCAAGTGGCTGCGGGTGGGTATGTGGAGAGACCCTGACCATCCGCGGGGCGGGGACCAGAGGTGCCTCAGCGAGTCTTGGGGAGGAAGCAGGATGGGCTTTGCGCTGAGGCCATCTGGAAGCGTGGCGCCTAGGAAGGGTGGGATGCGAACCTGGGCCTCGGGTGAAGGAAGGACCTGGCCTGTTGGCACTTCAGGGGCCAAATCTAAGCCCCTCTGTTCCGTGGTCACAGGAGCAGGCGACCGGGAAGAAGCCAAGGATGGCTCCTTCTCTCTGACCATTTAGTCACCTGAAACCAAACAGGGTCACGTGCGGAGTTGACTTCCAGGCGACATTTCTATCTTGTTCCTGGCTGAAGGCGTCTGTTTGCTTGTGCACCTCACACCCAATCAAACGTGGACCTGCGCCGGCTGCCGAGAAAGTGAGGGTGTTTTGGTGGAGGAAATGGGGCCAAGCCTGGAGTCGCAGGTCAGCTAGACCCGGCTCCCGGTGGCTCCCAGGGGGTGGGTTACGTAGGGCCAAATTATTGGTCATGGCGGCTACAGGATGGGGTCCTGGGCTCCCCTGATTGGTGAGGGCCAGGGAGGGGCGTGGGTGATCGTCACATCAGGCCCTAATGTGAGGCTGGTTTCCTGAGCGGGTGGGTCTGTGAGGCTGCTCTGCTCTCATGGGCCTGGGGTGAAACACAACCGAGGTCAAGGTACCATCTTCAGCCTGACTGAGCTGTCTATGACGCGGTGGGAACTCTATTTTTCTGCCAACGGCCATTTGGGTATTTATAACATCATTCTCGGGCCATACAAAATTACCAGCTTAAGAATTAGTCTGCCACAGCTGGTCAAACATTTAATGAGCTCACCCCTAATGCCTCGGCAGGGCCAGACCCAGTGAGTTCTTGGGCCTCATGCGGCCAGAGGGCCGGATGTCCCTCACCCCTGCTTATGGGGTCAACAGACCCGAGGCTATGTTCTTGACACAGTTTGAGGCTGACCAGAATCTGAGGCCCTACGGGTGTAATGATTAAGAAAGGGCGTGGGCGGGCAGAAGGAGAAAGGGTCATGTTTAGACAACGGATTTTCTGGGCCGTTACTGTTTATTCATGCCTCTTTCCAAATGAGGTCACATGCAGCCTCAGAATCCTGATCAGGCAGCAACTGTCCACACGGTCAGGCTTGGGCATTAGAGATAAATCCAGTCCCTGCCCTAGGAATAGTGTGATTTCAGGGCCACGGGAGACGCAGCTGGCTCTAATTTAGATTTCCTCTTCGCCTTCCCCATAGAAGTTTCCCGCCACTCCCACACTGATGTGTGATACCATCTTTGACAGACAATGCACCTGTCCCTTCAACAATGAGACAATATAAATCACTCTAA